CCCTCAGTCATCAATCTGAACTCACATCAGTTGAACCAAGCTTATCTCTGAAGTTTGTTTGAGTGACAGGGATGACATTTTAGTATCATCTTCAGATAGTATCATCACAGCTGTTCATTTCTGTGAACACCCTGCCCAAATGGCACATGGGGCATTTTTTTTTATTACTTTACTGGTTAGAATTAACTAGAATAATAAACATAGAGCTAAAATAAATATATATTGTTCCTTGATGAAGCCACCAGATGGCAGACCAGTTTGACCATAACTGTAACTCCGCAGAAACAGCTTCTAAAAAGGAAACATTGCGCCACTGATGCATAAAATATTTTTTCCAGTATGTGGATGTTAGTTTTTGAAATTATTTTTTTTTTCAAATATGCTGAAACTGCTGAAGCCTATGTGGTTGACTTTAAATGACTGTAACTTATTGTGACATACAGGTGCTGGTCATAAAATTAGAATATCATGAAAAAGTAGATTGATTTCAGTAATTCCATTTAAAAAGTGAAACTTGTATATTATATTCATACATTACATACAAACTCATATATTTCAGATGTTTATTTTGTTTAATTTTGATGATTACAAATGACAACAAATGAAAATCTCAAATTCATCATATCAGAAAATTATAATATTGTGAAAAGGTTCAAAATTGATGGCCCCTGGTGCCACACTCTAATCAGCTAATTAACTCAAACCACCTGCAAAAGCCTTTAAATGGTCTTTCAGTCTAGTTCTATAGGCTACACAATCATGGGGAAGACTGCTGACTTGACAGTTGTCCAAAAGACGACCATCGACACCTTGCACAAGGAGGGCAAGACACAAAAGGTCATCGCTAAAGAGGCTGGCTGTTCACAGAGCTCAGTGTCCAAGCACATTAATAGAGAGGCGAAGGGAAGGAAAAGATGTGGTCGAAAAAAGTGTACAAGCAAGAGAGATAACCGCACCCTGGAGAGGATTGTGAAACAAAACCCATTCAAAAATGTGGGGGAGATTCACAAAGAGTGGACTGCAGCTGGAGTGAGTGCTTCAAGAACCACCACACACAGACGTATGAAAGACATGGGTTTCTGCTGTCGCATTCCTTGTGTCAAGCCACTCTTGAACCACAGACAGCGTCAGAAGCGTCTTGCCTGGGCTAAAGAGAAACAGGACTGGACTGCTGGTGAGTGGTCCAAAGTCATGTTCTCTGATGAAAGTAAATTTTGCATTTCCTTTGGAAATCAAGGTCCCAGAGTCTGGAGGAAAAGAAGAGAGGCACTTCATCCACGTTGCTTGAAGTCCAGTGTAAAGTTTCCACAGTCAGTGATGGTTTGGGGTGCCATGTCATCTGCTGGTGTTGGTCCATTGTGTTTTCTGAGGTCCAGGGTCAACGCAGCCACATACCAGGAAGTTTTAGAGCACTTCATGCTTCCTGCAGCTGACGAACTTTTTGGAGATGCAGATTTCATTTTCCAACAGGACTTGGCACCTGCACACAGTGCCAAAGCTACCAGTACCTGGTTGAAGGACCATGGTATCCCTGTTCTTAATTGGCCAGCAAACTCTCCTGACCTTAACCCCATAGAAAATCTATGGGGTATTGTGAAGAAGAAGATGCAATACACCAGACCCAACAATTCAGAAGAGCTAAAAGCCACTATTAGAGCAACCTGGGCTATCATAACACCTGAGCAGTGCCACAGACTGATCGACTCCATGCCACGCCGCATTGCTGCAGTAATACAGGCCAAAGGAGGCCCAACTAAATACTGAGTGCTGTATATGCTCATACTTTTCATGTTCATACTTTTCAGTTGGCCAACATTTCTATAAATCCTTTGTTTTTATTGGTCTTCAGTAATATTCTAATTTTCTGATATGATGAATTTGAGATTTTCATTTGTTGTCATTTGTAATCATCAAAATTAAACAAAATAAACATCTGAAATATATGAGTTTGTATGTAATGTAAGAATATAATATACAAGTTTCACTTTTTAAATGGAATTACTGAAATCAATCTACTTTTTCATGATATTCTAATTTTATGACCAGCACCTGTACTCCACCATGCAGGCACAGATTCCCTGCTAGGGTAAGATGAAAACAATTACTTGTGGTTTTTGTCTGTAGCCATGACAAACAATGTTTTGGTCAACTCTATTTTTATTAGAAATAGTACTTTTGGTGTGTGCAGCAGGAAAGATGCTCCTTTGGGAAATGTGTGGAGAGCCAGGCCTCTGCTAATGCAGCCTGAGGGTCCAATTATACAAAGCAGATTATGTCAGGCTCTTTTTCTCGGCTGTCCCACTGGACTAATAACTCTGTGATGTTCATGGACGCAACATGCTGCTGTGCTCTGCTTAGTCAGAACTTAGATGTGATATGGGACATTTAAATCATATTAGTACAGTATAACAGAAATGATGTTTAAACATGTAGGTGTTAGTAGCTAAGTCTTGAAAGTTTGATGATTTTAGATCAATTTCAAGTAATTATGGTGTAAATTAACTTAAAAGAAAATAATAATGGTAGCAGCATCTATAAACAATTTAAGCAAATCTGGAGTATTACATGATTATTCTCAAGGTATCAATTGTTTTAGTAAAGATGGAAAATAAAAAAAAGGAAACCAAATTCTACATTTGGTACCAAAATATCCTATTTCAAAAGTAACAGGGCTACATAAATCAGCTGTATTTGTTCTGTAGAACGTTTTACATGCCTGTCAGAAAAAAAGTATGATATTTTGGCTGTGCGGTGTGTGAGATTTAATGATGATTGTAAAATATCTGGTTTAATGCAGGAAAAATAAGCATAGTTTCAACAGATTAATGCCTCGGATGTGTAGAAATGTATGCTCTTTGTGTTGTTACAATGATTAAATAGCTACCTTTTTCAAATGCATCTCCTCTCGGCCAAAGGAAGCTTAGGAAGGCAATTTCTAGGCCTCTTAAAAACTATCAGCTAAAAACAGGAAACATTATAGTACTAGTTCACCTCATAAAGCTGTCAGTTTTTCACTGAGGAATTTATCATTTTGTAATCGCTTTGTTCTGTGCGATCACACAGACTGTAACTAGTATAACTGAAAGTTAAGAAGAGGACTAAACTTTAGATGTAACTATTCTGTCCCTTAAAATGCTGGAAAACATTGAAAAGGATTTAAAACAGATACAAATAATTTGCAAAAAGTTATTTCTATTACTTTTGGAAAATAATGTCCTGCACCATAGTATTTTGTGTATTGTTGCAGACTGGCTTGTGCCAGAATCATACAATTTCAAATTGTATGAACAATACTACTTGGGAAAAAATAAATAAAAAATCTAAATTACTTTCCACGTTTTAATTTTCAACCAGAGGAGTTCCAACCCTCCATGTTACCTTTGAAACAACAGATCTGATGAAGCATCATCTGTAACCCACGGTTGTCAAACATACATTGTATTCTACCCGCTGCCTTTAAAATCTGATATATAGGGAAATAAATCATAATATTTCAATGGTTTGCAACTAATTCTCTGAACATTTCATATGACAATCAGCGTATCCTCCATAAATTATTTCAAGCTGCTTTATAAAATAATTCCTAGAAAAAAGTATTTGGTTTGAGTAACTCAGGTTATCATGAGCTACCTCTATAGTTTTGCTTCTATAAACATAGGATGCTGAAAATCATAGGCACCACTTATCATCTCTGTGCTATATCCTACCTCTATTCTTTAGTTTTGCATTATTTCTGGGGTGGTAGAATGGTCAATTTTTGTGTATCACCATATGGATGTTTGGCTCTTAATCCTAAAGGTAGGATCTGTTTTAATTAAAGCTGATATGACAAAACTCTGGATCACTAATAAGAACTCTATTGTTAGATTTTGGCCTTAGTGTGCCCCTCTGACTATTTGAACATGTATGTGTCTTTAACTCATCATCATATGCGACCGCTGTCTAAAAAAGGCACAACACATCACAAAGGACACTTCTCATCCCGGACATTCTCTGTTCACACTGTTGCCTTCAGGCAGACGATACAGAGCAATCAAACCAAGAACCAACCGCCTTAGAGACAGTTTTTACCCGACAGCAATAACAAAACTAAATGCAACCAAAAATAACCATTAATCATCATGGATGATGTGTGTGAGATTGTACTATTCTTATTAGTGTTTTTATCAGCTATTGTTATTTATTTCTTATATTATGTGTAAATGGTGGTGACAGTGATTTCTGTTTTTGTTTTTAAGCATATGCACTGATCGATCGATGGCACTTTTTTTTTTAATTTCATTGTTCTTTGTGACAATGACAACAATAAAGATTTGAAAGATATTTGCTGCAATTATGAGATTCTACCAATAGGCCGCTGATAGCAAGCTAGCATTTTTATTTGGTGACATTTCTTTATTCCCGCCAACTGAGATCAGGAAGTGACCACAGCCTCTGTCATGGTTTTGGTTATGTTGTGCTTTACTTTGCTCCTTGTTTTTTAGTTTTTTAGTTTTATTGTTTTAATTCCTATTTTGTTGTAATTTCTAGATTTATGTTAGTTCTCATGTTTTTCTGTTGTCCTCTGTTGCCCTCTTGTGTGTGTGTGTGTTCCTTTGACCTTGGCTCCCTCGTTGTCTCCTCACACCTGCTCCTTGTCAGCTCGTTAGCCCTCCCTTTGTCTCTGTCAGCTATTTATGCTACCTCTGCTCTCACTCTTTGTTGGTTCCTCTGTTGTTGCTGGTCCTGTCATCGCTGCAATCGTCTCCCCTTGTCTCTCCCTGGCTCCTTCTACGTGTTTTCCCTTGATGTCTGCCTGGTTCTGCCTCTTTGCCTCTGCATTTGGGTCCTCCAAACTAGTGATGGGCAGATGAGGCCCCATTGGGTGTATGGCACATTTCCCAAACTGTGTCGACACTGTGTTGAAACTGTTTTGCTGTATCACTGAATGGCGACATCTGCTGGATTTAAAAAGTAATTGCAGGCAACTTCAATAAAGACTGGAAACAGACTGAACAAGGTTCTTTCACACATTTTTATTTAGAAACATCAGCTGCGTTAACATCTTTGGGCCAAGGCGATTGCGCCGCTTACAAACCATTTCTCCTGCTTTTGAGAACACCCTTTCACAGGGCACTGATGATGACGGCGTACATAAAAATGTCATTGCAAGTTTGTACAACGTAGGATAATTTAGTCTTTGCGATTTCCAGTATTGTAGTGGATCCTGTGATCTTGGTGTGTTCTCTTCGGAGATGTATCTTTGTACCTCGATAATGGCATCGGTGGTGACATTTGAATTGGCCTTGCTCTCCTTGACTTCTATGTCCAGCTGGTGCCACAGGTTGTCATCTGAGGAAATAATAAAATGCATCTGTGTTACTAATTCATAGTATTCACATGGAATGATTTGCATGAACATTAAAATACAAATGAACAAAATTAAGAATCATACATACCTGGATTGGAATCAGATGGTTGAGTTGAAGGTCCAGCTTGGGCATCTTCCATTTGTGTTGGTATAGCGTTTCTCATTACTGCTGCACACTCTGATTTTAGTCTTTTCACTGCATCATTGGCTTTTGATGCACTTAAGAATGCCATGGTCTTGAACCGAGGGTCCAGCAGTGTTGGCATTGTCATTACACTCAATGACTCCAGGTTGCACAGAGTTTCTAGCAGTCTTCTTTTTAGGTTTTCCACAAGATTAATTGCGGTTTCCGTGGTTACATTTAATGCATTGCGTTGCAGTGAGAGGTGCAACATTTTGAGCATTGGGATTACCTTTGATCCAGACACTCTTTTTTCCTCAGACAGCTCCACTGTCGCTTGATTAAATGGAGCAAGCACACGGAGTGTCTCCTCTATGATTTTATAATCATTTGTAGTGAGCTGAGGTATATCACTTTTTAAAGAAGCTAGTGATACCAACACCGACTCCTTCTGTTCCGCCATGCGTTCCAGCATTAAATATGTGCTGTTCCATCTAGTTGACACCTCATTGATTAATTTCTTCACTGGTCCTCCCATCTGTAGCTGGACTTGTGCCAGCTTCTCTTTGGCTGTAGTACTGGTTCTAAAGTATGTTACAATGTGCTTTGTTTTATTTCGGATTTCAGTGAGCGTCTCAATTTGGTCACATGATTTTCGAACTGTTAAATTCAAAGAATGCGCTATGCAAATCGTGTGCCTGATTTGGAGCTTTTTGACACATGCAACCATGTTTGCAGCCGCATCTGTGACAAGACATGTAACTTTCTCTGCTATGGCCCACTCCTGCATTAAGTTTTTCTTTACTTGGGCCATATTTTCAGCAGTGTGCTGCTGAGGGAAGTGTTCCACTCCCAACATTGATGTACACAGTGTATGGTTCTCACTGTTGACATAGTGACAGGTCACAGCCAGGTAAGCCTCCATGTTCATGGATGTCCACATGTCAGCTGTTAGGCTGACTGCAGCTGCACTCTTCAGTTCTTTTTTAATTTGCTCCTTTTTCTCCTCATACCTCTGGCTAATCATGGTCTTGATAGCCTAAAATTAATAACACAAGTGGAGTAGCTTAATGATTGATATCAAATAACATGCATATACTTTGTTAACATGTATAACAGTTAGTTTCACGTACCTTTCTGCATGGCAGAACATATGAGGGCTCAAGGAGTTGGACCAGCTCTCGGAACCCCTTGTCTTCCACAAGGCTAAGCGGCTGACAGTCTGTAATGATCATGTTCATTACAGCCTCATCAATCGCCTGCTTTCTGGAAGCACCAGGGCTAATCACGGGAGTATTAACTCGTTCTTCCATCTCATGCCGGGCACGGTAATGCCTCAGCATTGTGGAAGTGCTCCGGTTAGAGTAAGACAGCACCTGGGAGCAAATCCTACATTTCACCTACAATAGAAATAAAAGTTAATCCATGTAAACTAATTAAAATATTCTTCAGAAAGAAATTTGAATAACCAAGAGAAGAATGATCAATGGTGGAAACAAGAAAGGAATAATAATTTACCTTATTCTCAGTGATAAGATCAAAATGATCCCACACGGGTGAAAACTTCCTCTTCCTTGATTGATCCATAGTTTTAGATGACAAGCCAAAAACCAATGTAAAGCAAACAACACAAACTATCTCCATCCAACAAAACCCACAAATGTGTCGATACATTTTCTGTTTATAAATACAATTTGGCGCGTTCACAATCAAGCGACACAGGAACTGTATCGGTCACGTGGTTTTCCTTAAAGAGATACGCGCACCGACACGGGGCTTCACCTTGTTTGCTCGGCGCATGCGCCGAGGTTTCAGTGTCGTCAGACCCATCACTACTCCAAACTTTAACCAAGACGTGACAGCCCCGGTCAGAGAGGTAAGATTTGTGCCAGATTTTGTGTCCGATCTGGAGTTTAACCCTTCCTGACCAAGTTGTGGTTGTTTCCTACTAATCTGGTGATGAAATGTGGAACTTGTCGGCTGGCTGGGAAGAGGCAGAGAGGCAGTGGTACGTGGCTCCAATAGGGTAAGCGGTGCTGAGCTGTGAGCAAAATCCGAGTGGCTTTAATTCAGAATTGTCCTTGCCTTCTTTTCTTTTCCTGTATTTTGTTCATCATTCTTTAGCTGCCTCTCCTTCTTTTGAAGCTTAACTTTGGAACAAATGAGATTTCACAGGATTTCAGCTTTGGACAGAGATCACCGCTCAAAAGAAAAAAGGAAAAAGTTTCCTTTTTATTATAAACTGGGACAAAACTTTCTAAAGACTTATTGGATTCTTAATATAAACACCAGACCGCAAGTGTACTTTTCTGTAAGATGGTTTAGATTTGAGAGAATTGATACTGAAGAGTGAAAAACGTTTGTGGTTCTTGATTCATGTAGGTGTTTATACCATTATATATCTCTGTTAATCTGTTATTTACTCCTCCATGCATTCATTTCTGAACACAAAGATTTTATGAAAAGACAACAAAACACTGCAAATAATACTATTTAGATAAGTTAGGTCAAACAAATTCTCACTGTGAGGTGCCATTTTCTTTTGATTTTCATGTGCTTGCCTTTACACTGCAAAAAAATATCTAAAAATACGGAAAAAACGTCTTAAATTAAATGTATTTAGCCTTAATTTGAGTGGAAAAACAAGATCATATGCAAATAGAATTAGTATTTTTACTAGATAATTAGATAATATGCACTTGAGATAAGACAATGCAATTGTTTTTAAATGTAAATGGTCTTGTTCCGTTGGCAAAGTTTCTCACTTAACTCCACAATTCAAGAACAAATACACTTATTTTAAGAAAAAATTTACTTATTTAGATTTAGATTTTTTTTCTAGCGTACTCTTATTTTCTTTTTATATATAAATAGTTGAAATAAATTAAACTCTGTCTCTCTTACTCTGATTTGATAATTTTTAATGATAGAAAATTTGATGTGTTGAATTAGTTACTGCATGTTTTTTGTAAGGAAGAATATGTTCACTAAATCAATATCATCTTTTCAGTGTCATACTACCATTGGAGTCATCATAACGTTTACTATGAGAGAGCATCTAAAATATGTATTGCATCCCAGCAGGCAATCAGAATGAGAATCAGTTTGTGCTCTGAACATGCAAACACTCACATGCACACAGTACACAAACACAAAAAAATCACTGAGGTTAAAAGCTGTTCAGCCAAAGATTATTAAATATTTTAGGAGGTTCTGCCACAAACCCAACCTGGATTTTTGGAGTACAGGGATCATGCATGGCAGAAAAGAACTTCCATGACTTATTAATGCAAGCAGGAGGAGGTGAAGGGATGAATGTTGGAAGGAAATGATAAGCATTTGTGCTCATTAGGAGGGAAAGATTTATAATTGAGTGCTCGTTAAGGTTTGTTTATGTGTTTGACAAGTTAATTTGGGGCACTCTTTGATTAACTCTTAACCAAAAAAACAGCCTCCTCGATCATTTGGGAAGAAATAAAATATACTTGTCACCGAGGGCCTGATCTGATTCTTTTTTAGTAATAAGGTGACGTGTTGAGGGTGATCTACTAAGATTGCTGTGCAAATTTTAAAACGTGCAAAACTATTTAGATCCACCTATTACCAGCAGAGTTTTGTTCTACGGGCAGTTGAGAGTGGTTATAAAAAAGACAAGGTTCATAGCCATGGAGATTAAGGTAATCATGATGATCTAAAAATGTTTTACTTATAGTATATACAAAATAATAATAATTAAAATAAAAGAATAACTGCTTCGTGCGGGGTTGCGTTTTTCACTCACATCTAAATGTCGGGCAAGAGTATGGTCTGAGAAATTGAAGAATTCAGGAAGTGGCAGATATCTGGAAATTAGCTTTTAGTGTGTCCTTAATCTCTTTATAAGTCTTTGCTGGGCTCTTTTGTTACAGTTTTTATTATCCGTCTCTTTGATTTGTTATCAATTTTCCTCCAGCAGCCACATGAAGGGAGGTTAGCTACAGTACCTCAGAGCTTAAACTTCTAAACAATATGCGCAACTGGTCACAGGAACATCAAGTTCATTAGAGATGGTCTTATAGCCTTCACATTTAACACGCTTGTCTATTATTTCTTTCTACTCTTCAGAAACAATTCTTTGCTTCACTTCCTCTAATACATATTGAGTGTGTTACACACCATGTCAGCAGACAGTCACTAATCGTAACCCTTTATACACTGCTCAAGAAAATAAAGGGAAAACTTCCTTTAAATCAAAGTTCTGTGAAATCAAACTGTCTTCTCAGGAAGCATCACTGATCAATCAATAAATTTCACAGGCTGTTGTGCAAATGGAAAAGACAACAGATTGAAATTACTAGGAATTAGTAAGACACACTCAGTAAAAAAGTGGTTCTACAGTTGGGGACCACAGACCACTTTTCAGTGCCTATACATTCTGGGTGATATTTTGCATGCTTTTGAATATTTGTAGAGCTTGTAGAGCACACTCATGGTAGCATGAGATGAGCTCTACAACCCACACAGGCGGCTCAGATAGTGGCAAGAAGGTTTGTTGTGTCTGTCATCATAGTGTCCAGAGGCTGTAGGTGCTACCAGAAGACAGGCCAGTACACCAGGAATCATGGAGGAGGCTGCAGAAGGGCAACAACCCAGCAGCAGAATGGCTATCTACGCTTTTGTGCAAAGAGGAACAGGAGGAACCCTGCTATAGCCCTTAAAAATGATCTCCAGCCAGAGGTGGGTAGAGTACCTTTTATTTAATTAAAAGTAACACTCCATCATATTTTTACTCAAGTGAAAGTAAGAAGTAGAAAAGAAATTACTCAAGGAGGAGTAAAAAAGTATTTGGTAAAAAGACTACTCAAGTACTGAGTAACTAATCTGCTGACTACCAATGATCATAACCACTGATTTAATATTTTATTGGGTTATAAAATGTGCATAATAGACAGTATGTAGAATAGGTTGAAACACAGTATACTGTTTAATGTATTGTCAGCTGATCCCCAAACGACACGGCATACTCAGAAGATGGAAAACAACATTCAACTAACAAGCCTTGAGTACAAAAAAGAAGAGAGTGTGTCTCTCAATAGTGCATATTTATTTAAAACA